TTTGTTTAACCTCAAAAGTACCGTTTTTAAATTTAATTTAAAATTAAATGTTGCTGAAACAGCAAGTTTCTCAGTGGATCTGAGCTCAAAAATACAGCCTAGGTGGAGTAGTCGAACACAGATCCACTGATCCTTCAACACAGAGCATCTTCAGAAGACAAGTTGATAAAGTTAATTTAAATATCTGTATTGTTCCATACAAGTGTGTGTTGAACCTAAAGCTCTGTTCCATACGGTTCGATACAGGAACATGTATGTTGCACCCCTGGTGGTCACCATTTGAACTGGATTAAGTCCAGAATTAAACAGGTGTAAAGGTAGTCACAGATTAGTTTTGCAACATTTATTACATTCTGCTCTCTGGTTCAAGAGATATTTTGCTAACAGACAAACAGGGTTGACTCGGGTTGGCTTGGAGTGAATGTTGTGAATGACTCTCAGCTACTACTACACACAGTGAATTCTGGCTGTTTTTGTACAAGATGACAGCCATCTTGAAGTGGGTTTGCTTTAAAAATCTCACAGTTGTGGATGAACAGCTCATAATTATTTTGTGTCAGTTTTATTCAAACCTGTCTAGTTTATGAGATATTTAGATTAAAAACAGACACAGGAAACACAAACAGGCTGAACTGTTTCTGCCTTTAGCGTTGGCAGCAGTAACACAACCATGATTCTAATGAAGTTGGGGTATTGTGGAAAACAAAAAAACACAATACAATGCTTTGGAAGTCCTTTTTAAATTATTTTATTTAATCCTTTAAAACAATAAAAAAATCCATTAAAAAACAAAGTAAATCAATAACTGAATGGTACAGAAATAAAAAAATCTTATAAAATCCTCTTATTAAAAACAAATTTAAACAAACAACTTCAACTTGGACAATCTTATTTTGAGCAAAGAAAATAAAAATCATAAAAATAAAAACAAAATTAACTACAGGAATCTTATGATAGCATCACTAAACACTACATAGCATCATATTTTCCCAATAAATCGAACCTGTAATCTTTTAATTGTTGTGGAAGTTTTTATGTTTGTATCAAGATAAAACCACAGACTGTTGCCTGAATTTCAGTGCAGTGCTCCTTCAGTTTAAAGCTAATTTACACAGCTCAAACATCCTTGTTTGTCATGAAACATGCTGTAGAAGAAAAACTAAATTGTGATTCTGTAAAATAAAAAAGAAAAGATTGTAAAAAGCCTGTTCCATCATATTTCTGTGACCCATTGAAAGCTTGAATGTGTTTCTACAGGAAAGTATGTCCAAGCTGTGCATGGCTCCACAGCTCTGAAACTATTGATCACCATTTCTTTTCTATTTTTAAGGTTTTTGTTTAGATTTTAAATTTGATCTGTGTTGTGGGACACACAGAGTCTGTTCAGTCTTTTAAATCTGACTTAAAAACTCACTTTTTACACTGGCTTTTAACTCAAGTTCAGTTTGAGCTACATCAGGAATTTTTAAATGGTGTCTTTTTATTTTGTTTTTAGCTTATTATTAGTTTTGTTGTATTGTGTCTGTGAAGCACTTTGGTGAACACTGTTGTTTTTAAATGTGCTATATAAATAAAGTGATGATGATGATGATGATGATGATCATACCATTATCACACACTCATTTTGATTGAGCTAAATGTTTTGGTGTATAATCTGCGTGTTTGATTTGTGCAATTAGATACAGAAAAAAATGTGAACATAATGAAATAACATCCTTAAACACTACATTATAATAATCATATTAGCTGTTTTACACTGGGTGCTAGAGGATATTTTGATGAGAATAGCCTTAGCTCTGACACCTGCCACAAGAAAAGTTTTTATTCATCCTTACTGACTGTAACATGTTTGTACCATGTTTGCAACATGTTTGTAACATGTTTGCAACATGTTTGCCATGTGTTTGTACCGTGTTTGTAACATGTATGTACCGTGTTTGTACCATGTTTGTAACATGTTTGTACCGTGTTTGTACCATGTTTGTACCATGTTTGTACCGTGTTTGCACCCTGTTTGCAACATATTTGTAATATGTTTGCAACGTGTTTGTACCGTGTTTGCAACATGTTTGCAACGTGTTTGTACTGTGTTTGTACCGTGTTTGTACCGTGTTTGGACCATGTTTGTACCATATTTGCAACATGTTTGCAACGTTTTTGTACCATGTTTGCAACATGTTTGCAACATGTTTGTACCGTGTTTGTACCGTGTTTCTACCATGTTTGCACCATGTTTGTACCATGTTTGTACCATGATTGTACCATGTTTGTACCTTGTTTGCAACATGTTTGCAACGTGTTTATACTGTGTTTGTATACCGTGTTTGTACCATATTTGTACCATGTTTGCAACATGTTTGCAACGTGTTTATACTGTGTTTGTATACCGTGTTTGTACCATATTTGTACCATGTTTGCAACATGTTTGCAACGTGTTTATAGCGTGTTTGTACTGTGATTGTACCGTGTTTGTACCATGTTTGTACCGTT